GAGAGAGAGAGAGAGAGAGAGAGAGAGAGAGAGAGAGAGAGAGAGAGAGAGCATACATGATGATTCATGGTTTACACAATATTACTTATACTGTATTAGTGTAAACCAATACAGTTCCTTATATTCTTTAAGATACTGTAGAAGTAATGCATTAATCAAAACTAATTAAATTAATTAGATAAATAAATAAAATATTTTGTAGCATGTTTTTATAATATAACATATTTTATAAATTAAAAACATTAAAAGCAATAATGAAATCCTTAGGCTCACAAAATACATAGAAACAAAATTAAAGAACACATGAATCAATTATGGTATAAATGAAGTAAAGAAGGTAAAGAGGTAAAGGTTTTTATACAATAAATACTGACAATTGTGAGCAAAATATAGACAAATTAAAACATAAGAATAATTTTATTATATTTAATAGACTTACTGTTTATCATTAGGCATTTGATCGTCATTCCCCTCATTGTCTAATTCTATACTCATTTTATTTTCCCTTTTTATTTATTTAGATTAATATTAATGATTACAGTACTCATTGAATTTATAATTATTTATTAAATAATTAAATATTCATTATTTGTTTATTACATGAATTGGTGTTTTCATAGCAACCAGTTTAATATGTTTGACAGAATAAGCACACTTTTTCAAAACAATGCACAATACTATTGCCTTCTATTGCTAAATAATATTTTGAAAATATTGGTTTATTGTAACCAACTGATATTGTAAGATAATGTAATTTTAATTATAAACACTTAATTACAAAAAAATACCAAATAAAAATATCATTATAAACACATTATGTTTTGTGTAATAAAAATAAAACAGTATAAAATATGTCCAATAGTATATAAAGAAAATTACAAATATTTGTTCAATCCATTATATTCTGGTTCATTATATTAAATCATGATTGGTAACACTTTGATAAAAATACACAATATACGATATGAAAAGCAATGGGAATATCACAACGCAAAACAAATCTATTTTACGGCCAAATGTACTATTCGTCCACTTTTCCCGACAATTGTCGTAGCATTCCTTTGTTTCCAACGTTTTCTGAGAGAGAGAGAGAGAGAGAAAGAGAGAGAGAGAGAGAGAGAGAGATTAGTAAAGTACCAAGAACAAACAACGACTTACCAATGCGACATTGTCTCCAAAATGTCCATTATTATTTAAGGTTTTGTTACAATTATAATCAATGGCCTTAACGACTGCAAACTCAATAATAGTGGCAACGATGAAGTTTGTGCACCACATAAACCACCAGTCCTTTGCTATAAAATACGACACTTTTGCATCGGACCACATATTGATCACAACAATATGCGTGTAAAGCATCAACAATACGACCACTAAAAACTTAATTCGTGATGAATTACTTGATTTCATTAAAAATGACAAAAACGATATAAATGTAAGGATTGCTGTCGTGACGAACCATTGGAACAAATACTTGACAGTAATTCTTGTAAATTTTAAATCCACTTTCAAACAAGAATATTCTCCTAACAAATGTAAAAATTATGTGTTTTGTAAATGTTATGTTCTTAATGTTTAAAAATAATATATTAATCAGACCTGTGTTTGTTCTGGATGTACAATAGGCTGTCAAATATGTATTAAGTTTAAATTCCTTTAGATTCAAATTCTTGGTAACTTGTACAGGGTCTCCTTCTTTCCAAAGCAGTACTATATCATCGGTCGTATAGCTATCTATATTATAAATTTTACAAATAAAATAATAGTTTGTGGTTAAATACCAGATTAAATTTTCATACTTGATTTAAACAATTCAACAATTTTTAATTTTAAACAAACTTATATAAACTAAAATACAACTTACAACTGGCCATTTGTATGGAACATATCTGTGTATCAAATGGGAAATATTTGAGATTCATTGGACAGGAGAGGGTTGCAGTCATTCGTTTGGAAAACAACACATTTCCGTTGGGATATATGCGGAACAATATGTTAGGTCTGATATCAGTGTGCGATAGAGTGAACCGCGAGTTGGAGAAGAAGGTGTCGGGTATCCATATTCTGGTCGGATCGTCGAGCACTAGATATCGGATTTGGCCGTTCATGTCGTCAAACTTGAGTCTATCATCAGTCCATTGCTGTCTAAAAGTCATTTGAATCTTGTACTCCATTTTATCGACGCTAATGTATTCAATGCCTCGAATATACATATTTGTGCGAACGATCACCGGTTCAGTACTTCTGGTCGTTTCGTTGTAATGTCGGGCAACTATTCTCAGGTCATATTTGCTTTGGTCCAATACTTTATCCAATATATCTTTCTCTGTCTTATAAATATCCCTTTACGATATAAAAGCGCACAATATTTACATTAAATCAACATCTATAACATATAGCGTTGCCAGAAGCTCCTGGTTCACATGTTAAAATCATCTGACAACACTAATAACATAACCATTGTTTATCAATTATAATACTTGCTGCATTATTTGGTATACATGTCTCAAAACCTCTCACTACCTGCACACCAAATCACCAAATGCTCTACTGAATTAGTTCACGTATACGTATATCTTAGGGATGTGAGGCATTTTAGAAGTGAAAGTTTAGCAAAGTTTTTAGCAATATTTAGGAAACAATCTCTCCTAACATTTAGCCTATATTTTTAACCACATTAATATTATAAGATATTAGAAACATCTATATTGCAGATAATAGCTAAATAAATTGGTTGATATTTGTAATTGAACCTAGATTAGCATTTATTCTAAAATAATTAATTATTAAAATACTATTCAAAACAGTTTGTATTGCATTGCAATATAGTTCATTGAATTTAAGCATCAGTAAGTATCCTCAAAATCTATATAGTATAACAGAATTTTTAAAACCCTTTAAGACAAGAATATTTAGTAAAAAATATTTTGAAAACTAAAACATTTTTCCTTATTTATTTAAAATGATAAATGTTCCAATTAATTTGCTGACTATACAGTATATTTTACAGATAAAGTATCTAATTAAAAAACATTAAGTTTTCACATTGTTGTAAAAATTTAGTCAACATGCCAAAGCAAACCTAAATGAGTTGTTAACATAAAAATATTAGCGAAAATTTTATCCCTATTTATATAACTTGTAAGTAAAGAAAGTATATATTTAACTTTATATATTAATAAAATGATTACAAACAATTATGTATTAAATAATAAAACTTTCAAATATAAGTTAAATTGAGTAATTTTTGTATTATGTATACAATTACACAATAAATTCAAATTCTAAACTTATTAACTTAAAGAGTTTGTCAAAGAAATCTCATGTAGTCGTCTCATACCTGGCCGTAATGTGGTAACAGTTTCAATCACAATTGATGAAAGTTATAATTGATAAGGTGCAATATAATAATGAATTGTGGATTTAAAAATAACAAATAATTAATATCTAAAATCTAACTTTAAAACAATTAAAATACTATAACTAGTACAGTATTTCTAAAAATAAACATTTAATGAATTGATTGGCATTATTGTTAATTAATACAATTATATAAAAATAGTTAAAAATTAAATAAAAATTAAGTAATTATATTATAAATAAAACATAAGATTATTAAAACCTCACCCAAAGACTTGCGTAGCAATTATGGAAAACACTATGAATTTGAAAGTGTTCTGCATTTTAATCATATATTTGAAAATATTTCAAATCATAAACTGATTGAATGTAAAGCCTATGTAAATGCAAAGTCTTAAATAGTTGTAGAATCAATCGATTTAACCTTCAAATATTATAATTCCTATTAATTATTCTATCGAAACATCACTTATTCTTTACATAACTGAATGAAAGGATTGATATAAATGATGATCATATTATGAAATATATATTTTCAAGGTTAATTTGTTTTTATTAGGATATGTGTTTAATTATCTATAATAACAAATCAGTTAACACAAAATGCAAACAAATTACCATCATTTCCATGCAATCAAAATTCGGACTGTTTTTTTAATTGATAAACATAATAAGAGAATTCATTAATAAATGCAATTTATTTGAACATAATCGTACAAATTGATTAATTAGCTGAATAGGTATTATTCATAAACCTAGATCCCCAATGGTAATATACATGAAACATATTTCTAAAGTTTAGTGCGATTACAATAATTTTTAAAAATAATGTTTAGTAAATAAATATCTTATTTTTTAAATTTATTTTATAATTTAGTTTTTGATTTATATGGTTTCAAATATGAAAAATATTTACTGATCATAATATATTTCATTTATGATTCAAAAAACGTTAAAATGTCTGTTTTAGACAATAAGATTTATCAGACATTTATAAAAGCAACTCATTTTAGTATTCATAGGTCTGTGTTGTGTTCACAGTACCAGAACCTACAAATGAATGTGCTAGTTATTAATGGCTTAATTTTATTTTTTAACCCATCGTATAATACAGTGTGTACAGTGTATACTTGACAGTACCCACCCTTTATTCCTTATTTTGCAAAAGCCCTTGCCTTTCACACACCCGTCCCAAACGGCTCTCACTAATACTTTTCTCTCATAAATATTCAACACAAAAGTGTATAATAATGAGCTCTTCCTCAACACCGGTGTATTTTCTAAATCAAAAGGACCCCTATTTTGACCAAAACTATTGATAGTCTGAGCTTTGGTATAATAATAGACATTAGAGGACACCAGTAGTTGTTATAAATACACATTTTCCTATAGCTATAATACTTAAGAACTGAGTTTTAACCATTTTTACTATCATTTCTTTTAAATCAAATGTTTTTACATTGAATTACAATTGAATTAAACATGTGTTAATCGGTGACAAGAATCCCCTTTTCTTCATTTTAACTAATTTTTATAATTTACAAAAATGCTTTTATTACATAGAAATTCTTTTTAAAAGTCTAGTTCAAGGTCTCTCTCTCTCTCTCTCTCTCTCTCTTTTCAAAACAATGCACAATACTATTGCCTTCTATTGCTAAATAATATTTTGAAAATATTGGTTTATTGTAACCAACTGATATTGTAAGATAATGTAATTTTAATTATAAACACTTAATTACAAAAAATACCAAATAAAAATATCATTATAAACACATTATGTTTTGTGTAATAAAAATAAAACAGTATAAAATATGTCCAATAGTATATAGAGAAAATTACAAATATTTGTTCAATCCATTATATTCTGGTTCATTATATTAAACCATGATTGGTAACACTTTGATAAAAATACACAATATACGCTATGAAAAGCAATGGGAATATCACAGCGCAAAACAAATCTATTTTACGGCCAAATGTACTATTCGTCCACTTTTCCCGACAATTGTCGTAGCATTCCTTTGGTTCCAACGTTTTCTGAGAGAGAGAGAGAGAGAGAGAGAGAGAGAGAGAGCGAGATTAATAAAGTACCAAGAACAAACAACGACTTACCAATGCGACATTGTCTCCAAAATGTCCATTATTATTTAAGGTTTTGTTACAATTATAATCAATGGCCTTAACGACTGCAAACTCGATAATAGTGGCAACGATGAAGTTTGTGCACCACATAAACCACCAGTCCTTTGCTATAAAGTACGACACTTTTGCATCGGACCACATATTGATCACAACAATATGCGTGTAAAGCATCAACAATACGACCACTAAAAACTTAATTCGTGATGAATTACTTGATTTCATTAAAAATGACAAAAACGATA